CTCTCTCTCTCTCTCTCTCTCTCTCTCTCTCTCTCTCTCTCTCTCTCTCTCTCTCTCTCTCTCTCTCTCTCTCTCTCTCTCTCTCTCTCGCCATCTCCACCGACCTCAAAAGTCCTGCCATGCTGGGTTTGCGTAGAGCCCCGCATCCATCAAAGTGCCCACACATGTATGCGATCTGTAGTCAGGATTCGCGCGGTGGCGATCACATTGGGTTCAGTCGCCACGAACGAACAGTGTTGTGTGATCTAACAGGGATCTTTCTCTTTGAGTCCGATCTGTGATCGGGGTGACGTTCAGGGCCATTTGATCGTGACGTTTGATTGGGCCGTGTGATGAAGGCGGAGATCGCCTCTCTGTCGCTCTCTCTCTCTTTCCCTATGTATTTATCTCTCTTTCTGTCTTTTATCTCGTTCGTGTCACTGCGCTTGTCTGTGTCGTTCGCACAAAGTTCGTGAACGGAACTGACAAGCGCAGACAAACGAACGAGACAGAACAAAAAAAAAAAGAAATATGAATTAACGACGAAGACGAAGACGAAGACGGGAGAGGAACACGACCGCAAAACGTATGCGAAGAAGAAAAGGCAATTGCATACGTTCTGCCGTCGTGTTCCACTACCGTTATCGTCATCGTCACCTGTGGCTTTGTTTCGTTCGTCTTTTGCGTTGGCCCGTTCCGTTCGCGAACTTACCTCGGCCTGCTTTCGCGAATTTAGTTCCATTGGCGACCACTCGCCCCGATCAGATGGCACACTCACACGTCCACGTGTCAGGTCCTGAACAAGTGTGGGCACACTGATGGATGCGGGGCTCTATGCGCAACAGAATGTTGTAGAATAGAGTCCCGCACCCATCAGTGTGGCCACGAATGTTCAAGACTTGACACATGGACGTGTGTGCCGTCTTGTTCCACTACCATCATCGTCCCCGTCGTTAGTTTTCTTTCAGTGCCTCTATTTCGTTCGTCTTATGGGTTGGCCTGTTTCTTTCGCGAACTTACCTCGGGGTGCGTTCGCAGATCTCGTTCCATTGGCGACCATTCGCCCCGATCAGATGGCACACTCACACGTCTACGTGTCAGGTCCTGAACAAGCGTGTGCACGCTGATGGATGTGAGGCTCTATGTGGCAACAGATCGGGGAGGTGGCGGTGGGGAGGTGAAGTGACACGTGGACGTGTGAGTGTGCCATCTGATCGGGGCAAGATGAAGGAGTTTCGGGAGCAAGAATGCATGCATTTCATTGGCGACCACTCGCCCCGATCAGATGGCACACTCAGACGCCCACGTGTCACGTCATGAACAAGCGTGGTTACGCTGATGGATGCGGGGCTCTATGCGAGAACGGAATGTTGTCGAATAGAGCCCCACCTCCATCAGTGTGGCCACGCATGTCCACGAGCTGACACGTGGACGTGTGAGTGTGCCATCTGATCGGGGCGAGTGGTCATCAAAGAAACGGGACCCGCGAATGCAGCCCGAGAATGTTGTGACACGCGCTTCGAGATTGTGTCTTCACTTCAGATGTTTTCTTGAAGTGTTTCTCGCATCTCGTCAATTTGTTTTCTTATCGACGAGATTTCTAGCCGTATGTTGTGGAACACGAAAACATGGGTTCTCACGAATCGTCTCTCTTTTGGATTGCACATGGACTTTCTTTTCGCCGAATCATTTTCTATTGCGCTCGGTTTGTTTATTCGTTTTTTCCACGTAAGTCGCGTCGTGCAGTTCGCTCGGCGTTTGGTTTTGTATCCGTAAATTGTCCTCTACATTCGTCAAATTTTTCAGATTTTTCGTCCTTCTTCCTCTCGCCGACACGCACACGAACGTTCGCGGTGCATCCTGTGCCATGACACGATCAAGAATGCTCGCCGTCTTCATGTGAAGCGCCATTTCATGTTCGACAAACGACGCGCAACAGGAAGATAATTATACGTTTTTTCTTATATTTCTTCTGTGCGGTTTTTAAACGGGTCACATTGCGAATTCCGAAAAAGACAACACCATCCGCAGGATCTGCACATGGAGAGACAAACAGATAAAGACAGGCTCTCTCGCTGTGCCCCCTCTCCTTATCGACGTCTCTATCGATCTCAGTCTCCCTTCCGTGTCTATGCGGGTTTTCTGCTTCTTTCCAATCTTTATGTATCGCAGACAATCGATCAACCGATCTTAGGTTGGTCCCCCCGAGTGCAATCACAGATCAGTAATCCGAAGACTGCTAGGACAGATTCGAAGACACAGACAGTCGCCCAATCGATTCCAGGTTGTTTCCCCTTGAGCGCAATCACAGATCAGCAATCCGAAGATTGCTAGGACAATGTCCTAGCAGTCTTCAGATTACTGATCTGTGATCGCACTCAAGGGCGAACGTGAATTCAAATCTTTAAACCCTATCAAACCTCGCGTCAGCCAATCGCCGCGAGGAATCCTTCCGCTGACGTGGACACAGGACAGGACAGGGATCGATCAGATGCTCATAGGGCATTGTCGAAGGCGACAAGTCTCACCAACCAGGAGGACGATAGCCCACCCTGTCCATACCATCCTCTGGTGGCGCAACAACTAACGTATCCGAGCCACAACCCACTAGAACGCACTAGAACTCACGGGGCGACCACAAACCGAGGCACCTCGGCGAAGTTCGGATTAATCCGAACAACACCGACGACAAGTTTGGATTTATCACATGCTCAGACGGTATTTACCACGTCGCACGTTCTGACAAACGTGAACGACGAAATCACACGCTGTCAACAGACCGTGCCGTCCATCCATCGGTCCCTGTCTCGGATTAATCGGAAACACACCTCCGTCAAGATAGGGTCCACCCTATGCTCACAGGTCATTGACGAAAACACGCCATGCCGATGGCCTCCTCTTGTGGTCGGCCGTTTCTGCATCGCATTTTGCTAATTCGGATGCATCCGAGTCACAACCCTCACCATATCAGAAGGACGAGAAAACTCGAGTCCGGGGAAGCCGGCCCCCACGGATGCAGCCCACACCACTTTGTGGATTGATTGCATCCTAAGCACACCGAGGCACTTCACAGTCCGCTTCAGCGTTGTCACGCGGGGATCCCCGGGGCCCAAGCCGGGGTAGGGGTTTCAACCCCGGAACCCCGCCGCGGGGCTACCCGACCCCCGCCCCCGCA